ATCTATTGCACTGAGGTATTCATTGTCAACGACGTACGTGATACCGTCGACGTGATCAAGCACACAGCTTTAATCGAGTCCAATACCTCGTACTCCATCCATCTACTAACACATATATACATTACGTCGATATGCCTTTCTCACATAGGTCCAGAAAACAGCCAACCAAGTACTTGTGCATAATCTTCTGGCGGTGATACTTACTTACTGCACTGAGATCTTACCTGTGAACGAAGCACGCGACACCATCGACGTGACCAAGCAGACCGCTCTCGTGCAATCAGATGCCTTGGAAAGCGCGCGCAGGCGAGCCCTACACACACCCATGTACGAGAAACGCTCGGCGCACGATAATGAAATGGCCGACTTTGCCTTTGGGGCTGGTGACGGTGAGTGCATATCCGATAGAATTCAGGAATATATGTGTTATTCAATTGGTGCGTACAGAGCCAATTGTATTTGGAAATGTGTCTTATGTTCAATATGTATGTGCAAATCAGATTAAATATCAAACTTTACCTTGTATTCGATTAGGGGTTACGTATTAGGTTGTATCATAAAGTACGTTAGTTATTAGGTAGATACATAGTAGATTGCATAAAGACATGCGTCTATGATTCGATATGTGTATACAGCCTCTGTATTTGTGGTTATGTACAAACGTATATATATCACACGACAAAGAGTTGGGTGATCTCGCGATTCGGGAGTGGTTAAGGTGTGCCTGTTACGTATTAGTGATTCTGAAAGGAAGCCCATTGGTTATAACGTGTAGATTGAATATGGTGCACAACACACCTCTGGGTCAGGAGAACTATCTCGCTCGTGTCCCGTGTATGTTCTGTGTATATCAGAGATGTCCCTGCACCGCACGAGGATGTCGAAATTTGCCACAGATGTGCTATGAAATGCCATATATGGCTGTACATTCCCAAAGGTAGCCTCAAACGCCACAGAATATGTTATGTCGTATATGACCTGGAAAAGTATAGATGACCACAAATGCCATAGATGCATTCTGCCGAAGCATTAAAGTATAGATATATATATATTATTCAACAATATGTACCCCGTAGATACATACTTTGGAACCATCAAGTCTATGGATAACTTTAGAACAATATATAACTCATAACGATACAATTGAGATGCATATAACCCATATATATAAAATTGCCAAGCACATAATATATCTACATATATACTTCCGCAGCTATCATTTCATATTTGCATATAATCCTGACGTATATAACCACTGATACATGTCGTTTCAAAACTCCTACACTAAACATTAGAAACCTCGGACGAGAGGGCCCCCACTGCCAACGACGAAGATTTAGACGACCTTGTAGACGAACGACGAGTATGTGACGGGGTTTATTCAGTGAGATTATTTGGCTATAACTGTCATGGTATTGGGGATAAGTTTCTAATATTTTTAACTCGTATTTTGGTAACATGTGCCTTTGTTTTGGGTTTGTAATCATTCTTGTTTGGTGTAGTTAACGTTTCGCGTGTCCCTTTGTGGATGATTTAGCAGTTTAGATATACTCGATTTATTAGGGGGGTTAATGTATTGCGTACAAAGATATTAATTTGTTTTGTCCCGAATGTAGTCAACCCAAAAATAGGCATAGGAAAGCCAACTACCTGTATCCAAGTAAATATTTAGGACCGCGTTTTTCCTCGTTTTACTGCTATACCATTCATACATACTAACGCCACAGCGTAGTTCATAGAGCCGACTACGTATACTCATATACATATTCCGGGTACGTTTACAAATTCTTCACATACTTCCTAGCGCATACGTATATGTTCCCACAGAGGCACCCATAATACCAACTTTGTATAAACGTACTTATGTCTAGCCACTTTTCTTGATTAACCTAATAGATGAAAAACGCAATTATCTTCGATCACAGAATACAGCGCACGAAAAAATGGGAACAGCACAAAGACGTCTACACTTCATCGCTGCATTCCATAATCTGGCTATGGCACACCGG